CACCACGGGTGAGATCGAACCCTTGCGAGGGGGGACTTACAGTGACCCTGCCTACCAACTAGACAAGGAAACTTTATCTTAGCTTCCTTGGTCGACCCCCCGCACGAACTCAACCCGACGCCTCTTCCTACTCTGCATAATGCTTCTTCCTTTCCTCTTATTCGATGGTCGACTAGGGCATTAGGGATTCTACTTCATCTCCGCACAAAGCTTTTCTCCTTCAGCTTGATCGCTCAAGTTTGAGCGTCCGCACTCGCCTTCTCCTATGCTCTGAAACCGCACACGCGAAAGCTCTGATCGAAGTCGCATCTCAACCCAATAGTGCAACCGCTATTCGATTCTCATGTAATGCGTTTCTCGCCCCTGGCACCCCTCCTACGCGATAATTTATACATGAAGGTATCGATTCGGCTTCCCGACCTCCCGCTTCACCTCCCCCCTCTTTGTCTTCCTGACTCCTCATTTTGATTCACTGATGTTCAATTCTTTAATTCTTCTCCCAAGTAAACGATTAAGAACATTACAATCTTCTCCACTTATAAAAATTTCGCGCACAAAGTTTATAAATAGACCTCAAGGCATTTTTGATAAAGCAGGCCAACATCAGTTATCCAAAAATTTCATAATGAAAAGTATGGATCATTCATTAATATAAAAAGTGATCATTATAATATAAAGATTAGATACATAGAGACTCAACTATACTTTGGATAAAAACACTTGGCTACTGAAACAAAAATACCCTCATCAGACCTCATCACAATCAGCAATAGTAGGTTTTTCAGGCGAACTATGAGTAAGGGAATAAACTCGAGGTCGAATTGGTTATCTTGGTTGACCTTAGGTAGGAGTTGAGGCTATAAACTCTATCCTTTTATGCCCACATGCAGCCTTTTGTGAAGGAGTTTCACCTGATTTATGGTCTTCAACACTCTTCTAACCAAGAAATGGATAATCCGGCTATATGATCAAGCTGAAGACACCGATAGCAAGTGTTAGAACTCATCAAGCATTCACCTTTATCTTGACTTCCACATTCAACACAAGTGATTACAGTATCTTGAGTCGTACCTCTGTTAACTCCACTCGAATTGTTCTTAAACTTCTTCTCATTGGATCTCTCTAATTGATCCACAAGTTCTTCAACGCTCTACCGCTTGTGCAGCACCTTACACTCCTGAGTAAACTAATAATTAATCTCCACTCTTCTAGCGTGTTCAACTATTATTGAGTATTCATCAATCCTCAAAGGCATTACCGGTTGTCTGATTGAATCCCTTAATCCCAAAAAAAAATCTGTAGCCCTTTTCTTCTATAGTAGCAATCAATTGCGTATATACTTCGACAGTGCAGTGAATTCTACTTCGTATGGCATGACTACCTTCTCTTCCTGCACTAACTTGATGAACATGTCATGCATTTGTCTTTGAGCAAATATGAGTACAAATCACTCTCTAAAAAACCCTACAAAATCCTTTCAACTTATCATCCAGTTAGGTATATCCCCTAACTTGTCCTAACGCTGCTCGCGCCACTAACTTTCGGCTTCTCTATCCAGCATAAAAGTAGTTAACAGAACTCTTCTTTCATCCGGACAAATCATGTTATCTAGTATCTTCTCTATCATTATTTAGTTCTTTGCTTCAATCGGGTCTTCAGTTCCCTTAAACAAGAATGAACACAAATCTTGAAATATTTTCAAACACTTATCAACAACAACCATATCATTTTTGATAGACTGCGATTTGAACTCCCAAATCAATTGAGAGTCATCGCCGCCATCATCTAGGTTAGGGCATTCGTGTTTGCATTTATAGTAGATTGTACTTTTTTGTTTTATTTCGAATTCTTATCTTCTATAATTTTGAATGTATCGCTACGCCTAAATGGATATAATTATTAATTTAACTTTATTCTTTATTTTTATTATCATTAAATTTTTTTTATAATTACACTATTGGCTCTTTCATCAAGATTTCATTAATTAATCATAAACATTTACTCTGATGTCACTTTTATCACTACCCGACACGGCGCTTGGAGTTAACCAATATAAGTACAGATGGTCGGATGGTGGGAACTAAGTTTTCTATATTCATTTTCTATAGCTAACATTTTACAAATAAAAGAGACACTAAAGAAAATTACTTTAATATGGTATAATTAAATTTACCTCGCTACTGGCTGTTTATGTTTTCTATAAACATTTTATCTAGTATTGCTCGTCTTTTAATTATTTAATTAAATCTGAAATATTAATTTAAAATAATAGTAAACTAGATAAAGTTAGTGAATACTCATACTTCTAAACTACAATAATACAGTGGAAAAAAAGTAATATGCGTGTCAGTTAAACTTTCAATAAATCAATATAAACATTTGATGTTTTTCGATGAATCTTATTAGATCAATAACTTATATGCATCGTTCTATATTAATAAAACCATCATACCATCACCGTCCAAAAATTGTCACTTAAGATATTTCAATATCAATATATATTTTCATTTACGTGCACAGGTACATTATCATTATCCCACTGGTACCATAAAGGGGTGACTGTCACAACCAAGCATGCACATACAAGCATACTATAAAAATATCACTTTCTATGTCATTCTCGTTTGCATATCAGTCAACATTCTTGTACAAGATTCAATATCTACGATAATTTAAATAAAGCTAAGCACACAGCTCACTCTTAACAAAATTCAATTCAATCATAAATCATAGGCATACGGTGTTATAACAGTAAATGCATTTGGTCAAAAAGAAAAAAATATTATTATAGCAAAAGAATATGAGCACTTACCTCGATAATGACTAAATTTTTATTTGATTTGTCTTGACGCCGACTCTAATAAAATTGAAAACATAACATAAACATGGTATTCATATTAATTAAATTTAATTTATTAATGATGTTATTATAAATAATTTATATCATTTTATTAACTATTCACGTTACTTAAGTATAAAATTTTCATTAATATACTTTATGTAATATTGCTTATATACATTATTGTTATTATTATTATTTCTAAATCACTTAAATAAACTTTACCTTACCTTCCTCGATCGACCCCTAAGCCATGAGTAAATGTGATTCCAGTCCTTTGTGCACAAGAGAGCTCCTCTGGCTACGGCTTCCTCTCCACAAACTAAGCTTATCTTCTCCCTTCTTCCTCTTTGTACGCAAGATCTGAACCGCAAGAGGACTAGGTTCAACTCCCTCATGCACGAACTCAACCCATCGCCTCTTCCTTCTCTATACGATGCTTTTTCCATTGCTCTTATTCGATGGCTGCCTAAGGCACGAGACATTCTCCTTCGTCTTTGCACAACTTCTCACCTTCAGCTTGATTTCTCATGTTTGAGCATCCGCACTCGCCTCTTCCTCTGCTCTCGAACCGCACGCACAAGAGCTCCAGTCGAAGTCGTTGTTCAATCAAGCAGCTCAACTACTGTTGGACTCTCATGTAAGTCGTATCTCACCTCTATCGCCCCTCCTACATCATAATTTATACATGAAAGTATCCATTTGGTTTCCCGCCTCTCGCTTCATCTCCCCCCTCTTTGGCTTCTCGACCCCTCGCTTCAGTTCTCACTGATGTTTGACTTCAATTCTTCTCCCGGATAAATGAAACAGAACGTTACAATAAACAAATAGAATTTCTCCCAAATTTGTCATTTTACATGACAGTAAAAATGACTCACTAGATCTCTTGGAAGGTAAAATTAATCTACCTAAATAATTTACTAAATTAATGCAATCTCTTCTTATGCAATAAGTTGGCCTCCGATCAAAATGTATTTTGGCCCTCAAAAGCACGAATGGCATCATTGAGATTAAAATATATAAATGATCAGCAATGCATAGGGATTAGAACAAATTGCCCAACATCTGAAGTGTGATATTAACCATCTCAAAGGTGTTTTTTTCCAAAATAAATGATGAGATAATTGTATGTGACGTTGCAGCCTTCAGAAACACTGCCCATAGGCTTGGTTGGTGTTCAGCTCGATTTAAATATTTTTATTCGTGTTTGGCTCAAAATTGGCTCATTAAATTTAATTGGAAAAAATAGATGCAAGGCTTTAGATTCGAACCTACACCAACTCTATGCAATAGAAGACGTAGAACCACATGATCAAACGAGCTGTTATAATTTAAATTTGGATATAAATATATATAATATTTTATAATATAAATAGTATTTTTTATTTCTAGCTAGAACAAGCCGAACAAGAGCGAAAAATGGTTGTTTGTGTTCGGCTCGTTTATAATTCGAGCTTAAAAAATTAGTGTGTTCGACTCAATTTAATTAACGAACGAGTCGAACACGAGCTACTTAACGAGCCGAACTCGAGCTACTCACATACAACGAGCTTTTTTGACAGTCCTACCTGCCTATCAAAAAAATAGCAAATTTTTGCATCTCTTAAAAAATTTATAATTTAACAGAGAAAATTCCATGACTAAAGTCCAAAATAAGCAAGGAATATACAAAATGTGAACAACTTTATCATTAACCATTCCATTTTTCACAAGTTCGATGTATTGATAAACCGAAATATTAAAATGTAGGTTTGTATGTAAATTGCAATTATTTGGACACGAATGAATTACTGTATATCATTACATATATGCCACAATACATGCACAAAAAAACATGCAGATCTGCAACAGTATAACTTGCAAGGTTCCCACCCAACTTAATTCACAATATGAAATTCACAATATGAGCATTACTAGGTCAAAAGTAATTCAACAAGCAGGACTACTCTAAATATTACAGAAACAAATAAAAATGAATTGTGCAGTAGCAACATAACAGCAACTATTTCACAAAAAATACAGTGGAAAAATATTAACAGTTATACCATAATAGAACAGTAAAACTGTTAGGAAACGGTGCAGTGTTTAAATGAGTAAAATTAAATCATTTTTCAATCACTAATCACCAAAATTCCAAGCATTCAAAATCAGAAACACGTACTCAGTTTCAGGAGGAAATTTTCCTGGGTAGTTATCCTTGAAGTCAACAAGCTGTGCAAAAAGATACGCTTCAGCCAGAGAGAAAAGTGTATCTATCAAAGCATATTCAGGCTCATCAAATGTATCTCGTATCAATGTTTTTCCATAAGCTTTAATCTTTTCTTCCTTAGACATTTCTTTGAAACCATGATATGCTACTTTAACATATTTGTGTCGATCCATCTGAGAAAAAGAAATGATTGACAGTAAAATAGTTCAAAAAGTTAAAAGTACTAATCATGCTATGGAAGAAATCAAGATATACAAGCAAGTTAGACAGTAACAGCCACACAAAAAATAAAATAAAAGACGAAAGCAAGCAAAATATTATAGGAAAACAGGAAGAAAACCTGATAAAAATAAACAAAGTTTGTGTTGGTCTGCTCTTATTTCTTTTCACCTAGCCAAATCCTTTTTTATTTAGTGATTGATTTGACTTGTGGCTTTTTGACAGTGTGAATTATTCAGATTTATAGTTCTTATTTCATCTATGTTAATAAAATTTTAATCATATATGTTTCTTCTAATATTCTCTACTTATGAAAAGCTTCTGTTTTGACATCAGAATCTTATCATCGATCTGTTGCTGACTGGATTTCATTTATTTCCCCCCTATTCAAAATTTATAAAATTTTATTTACGCATTAGATAGTTTATGTTCTAGGGCGTCCCCTGGAAGCGACGCGCTGTATAGCCTGAATACAGTGAAAAGTGTGCAAGGGACGCTACACCGGCGCCCGGGTGTAGTGTTAAATAAGCAAGGGTTCTCATATTACGGGCGAATGCGAGAAAAGAAGTTAGTCCATGAAACTAATGAAACTAATATTATGATAGGATCTTGGAATATAGGTACTCTCAATGATAAATTAATGGAATTAGTTGATAATATGATTCATAGAAAAATTAATATCTTATGTATTCAAGAAACTAAGTGGGTTGGAGAAAAGGCTAAGGAAATTGATAATTTAGGTTTTAAACTTTGATATTTTGGTAAGAGTCGCACTAGAAATGGTGTAGATGTAATTATCGATAAGAGTTTGAAAGATAATGTTGTAAAAATTAATAGAGTTCATGATAGAATTATAGCTCTTAAGATTATCATTGATACTAAGATTTTTAATATTATAAGTGTTTATGCTCCTCAAGTAGGTTTAGATATAGGGTCTAAAGATAAATTTTGGAATGACTTAAAAAACTTAATACAAATGATACTTCTTGAAGAAAGAATTTTTATTGGATGAGATTTAAATGGACATGTCGGTAGAGTGGTAAAAGATTTCAGAAATATTCATGGTGGCTACGGTTTTGGAGTAACTAATGAAGAAGGTAGAGTTATTTTAGATTTTGCTTCAGCGTATGATTTTGTTATTACTAATACTTTATTCAAGAAAAGAAATGAACATCTTATTACTTATAAGAGCTGGATCGTCGAGATTGTAAAGATTGTAAGGTCAATCCAAGTGAGGATTTCAGTACCCAACATCGATTATTAGTTCTAGATTTTAAGATGATGAATTGTAAAATAAAGAATACAAGGACTTGTCATCGTAGAATTAGATGGGAGAACCTAAAAGACAAAAATAAAATTATTTGTATGAGTAAAATTCAAGATTAACCTTTAAAGTAGAATCAGATTCTTAAGAATCTATTACCCCAGGAATAAAACATTTGATGTTTCTTTCCTTAATCCTAATTTAAAAGATGTGTTTGGTGAATCAAAAGAAAAAGTTTTTATAAATAAAAATAGTTGGTGGTGGAATAATAATGTGCAAGAAAAGATAAAATATAAGAAGTTATGTTATTAGAGAACTGAGAAAAATATCAAACGGCCTGCAGGTAGTCTAAAAGAATAATCTGTGACGCAAAAAATTTTGTTTTTAATGACCTGTATAATAGATTAGATACTAAGGAAGGTAAAAAATATATGTATAAACTAGTCAAAAGAAGAGAAAAGAAAAGTAAAGATTTAACTCAAGTAAAGTGTATTAAAGATGAAAATCAAAAAGAACATTTCAAAAAAAAAAATATTCAACATAGGTGAGTGAGTTACTTTGATAAACTTTTTAATGAAGTTTCTGAAAATACGATCGAACTTAGTGATTTTAATATCGTAAATAATAATAAAACGTTTCATTTTTACCGTCGCATTAGCAAAAAAGAAGTTGAGGAGGCTTTAAAGAAAACCAAGGGTGGAAAGTCTGTAGGACCTGATGATATCCCAATTGAAGTGTGGAAATATTTGGGAGATTTGGGAGTTTCTTGGCTTACTAAACTCTTTAATATTATTTTAAAAACTAAAAAGATGCCTGAGGAGTGGAGGAAGAGTATTTTGATCCCCATTTTTAAGAATAAAGGGGATGCACAAGAGTGTGCAAATTATAGTGGAATTAAGTTGATGTGTCATACTTTAAAATTATGGGAGAGGGTAATTGAACATAGGTTAAGATGCATCACGAAAATTTCTCATAATCAATTTGGATTTATGCCGGTCAGGTCTGCTATGGAAGCTATACATTTATTGAGAGGTTTGATGGAGAAGTTCAGAGATAATAAGGAGAACCTACTTTTGATTTTTATTGATTTAGAAAAAGCTTACGATAAGGTTCCAAGAGATATCCTTTGGAGCGTTCTCGAGAAGAAAGGTGTTGATATGACTTATATTCAAGTAAAAAAAATCACTTTTAGCTTGGATTGTATGCGGCAAAATGAGGCCCATTTAATATATTGAGTTAAAATTAGAATTTGATTAGCTTTGAGTATATGTTTGAGAAAAGAAATTTGGTTCAAATCATGTTTTGAGTGTAGACTGACTCACAAAAATTTTATAAAAGTTTAGAAACATACATTGATAAAAAGAATAACAAATGAAATGGAAATTAATAAATGAAGTATGCTAAGAAAACTTAAATCTCAGCATGTGAAGTTTTATCCAAAGGCAGGGTAGTGATCCCCTACCTCTAATTAGGGATAGGGATAGAAAGCAAATTCAAATCCCTTGAAGTTAATTTTACCCGAGTCCCTCAACATAATTGATATCTTGGGTCTGTTGTTCAAAGCGATGGTGATATAAATGGGGATGTTAATAGTAGAATTCAAGTTGGTTGGTTGAAGTGGAGGAATGCTTCGGGCCTTTTGTGTGATAGAAAAGTACCGCCTAGACTGAAAGGAAAATTTTATAAGACGGTGGTGAGATCTGCAATGCTCTATGGCGCTGAATGTTGGCCTTTAAAAGAGAAGCATAATAATAAGTTAAGTGTTGCCGAGATGAGAATGATTAGATGGATGAGTGACTTTACACTTAGAGACAAAATGCGAAATGAATATATTCGTGATAGGGTTGGTGCAGCTCCTGTGACGGACAAAATTAGAGAAAGTCGTCTTAGATGGTTTGGTCACATTATACGTCGACCATCTGTTGATCCGATTAGGAGAGTAGATGTTTTAGATTCGACTTGTGTTAAGAAAGGCAGAGGTAGACCTAGGAAGACTTGGGTTTATTGTATTAAAAATGATCTTAATTTACTAGAACTAAATGAAAATATGACACTAAATAGGACGCAATAGAGAAAAAGGATTCATGTAGCCGGCCCCACGTAGTGGGATTAAGGCTTTGTTGTTGTTGTTGTTGTATTAGATAGTTTATGTTGGAATTTCTCCAATGATGGCAGGGAACTTAAGGCGCACGGATCAAGGCTATGTACCATTGGATTTGTTTCTCTATGACCCTTGGATTGCATAACATAAGGCCTACAGATCAAGGCACTAAATCGTTGGATGAATCGCTCAACATCAAATTGCAATCCAAGTGCTTTCTTTTAGGATCGCCGGCCCCAAATTATTTTTCCCTCCTTTTTTTGGATTTATTCCTATTCTATAATGCCTCTAGAAAATGTACATTTACCTCCGCTCTTGTAAAAAGAAATAAATTAAATTCTTGAGAGTTTTTTTATTGTTTTATTTTCAACATGATATCAGAACAAGTTTCCAGTATTCCTTCAAACCTTTGTTCATATTCTCTAAGATTGGGGTTTCCACTTCAAGCAATATCCCTCTTGTCAAAAATTCCTTCTATTTATTATGATTGGTTTTTTTTTAACTTCCCACCAATGGTCTGACCATGTTCAATGGAGAAAATTAAACCAAAGAAGAACTCCAGGTATTTTAAGCATCTTATAGCTTAAATGAGAAAAAACTATCTTAAATGATCTCAAATCGTGAAGACATTTCTAAAAGAAAAGAAAATGATTCAACATCTTGTGAATCTATCTTTGAAAGCCCAAAGAAATAAAGTTCTTCGGGAAAAAATTGATTTCATGATCACAATATGGTTGTGTAATACTATGTTACCAAAAATTAATGAGATTTTATGCTTCTCTCCAACATGCAATTAAGCAAACATGCTCAAAGGTGAAACATGTTGCACTAATCTATGAAATCAAGACAAAGCTCCCTCTATCTGTCATTGAATATTTTAATGTTATGAATGTTTATTGTAGAGTTGTACTATTAACGTCTCAAAATGGCCTACTATGAGGATGTGATGATCCTTACAAAATTCATCAAGCAAAAAAGAATCTTTGAATTTTTGGTATGACTCAAAAATACATTTTATCAGATTTTAATCAAAAACTTAAGCAAAGAAAATCTCTCTTCTCTTAATGAAGAATGCTCTCTCATGTGAGCAGAAGAAGGAATGATGATGATAGTCAATGGTCCGGCTATCAAAATATGTATCATTACAACTTTTGAATTCCAAGATAAGGAAATTTCTGCCACAAAACTTTCTCCAAAAGAAGGACAAAATCTTTCTTTCAAAAGAGATCCCTGGCGCAACTGTTGCAAAGAGATAAGAAACGTAATACCTAGTTTTGACAAAATCAAGTGAAAATTTTGACAATTATAAATTATACCCAAAATTTTGCATTTCTCAAAATTCGACCGAGTCAATTTTATAAAATTCTACATATTGAGTCGATCACAATGATATATTACACCCTATATGAATTAAAAGCGAAGAAATAAAAATTTGAATTATAAGCTTAATTGACCTTAATTAATTCTCTCAATCTCATTTACCATTTCCACCACCTTATGCAGGTTGCAGGTGTTTGATGCAATTGCATGAGTGTGAGTCATGGCGAGGAAGTTAAATAAAGCATAAGAAGCTTTGAATCCCATTCCCC